CAAATGTAATCATGTTTTAATTGTGCTGCTGGTAGAGTTTTTTTGATGTTTCAAATCGTGTCCTGATGGACAAGATGTGAAAGATCTTTTTTGTAATACCACTATCTACCCTCATGTTTCTCCCCTTTTCCTATCTAAGATTGGAAAAGGGAAAAAAAAATTTGATAGTCAGCCTGTCTCAGAGGCCACTGGGAGTCAGATTAGATAAGCTTGATTTTTGTTTTTTCTTCAGGCAGACAGATTTTTTCTTCAGCCTTGAGTCCATCTGGGTGTTCTGGTTCACCACTTGCTCAAGCCGAGATCGGATGCTTCCCTCCCTCCCTCTCCGCTTTGCTGCTCTGTCTGTCTGTGAAACTGCTTCTGAGACTCTGAGACTCTCTTGCATTTCTTCCGAACCATAATTATGGACTTGTTCTAACCAGTTGGTCCCTCAACTCAATTTACAACATTTCTTCAAGAGAAGACAGGCTTTAGGCGAGCCGATTTACCCTGTTGGCACGTACGCAGCTGGATATCTCATCGACTGGAAGACTTGATGATGTGTCTATCTCTGCTGCCATCTGTGGATTTTAAGGACGCATATTTAATTGGATTAACGATAACCGGTTCCTGCTTTTTGGATTCAGCTGGTCCTGGTATTTATCCACAATCAAGGAAGTCGTCAGCAGCAAATTTGGACCCGATCACGCTGCTTGCCTTTATGATGGTTTGGTTTCATGTCTGGAGTACCCGGACTCAAATGCTTTGGGCTGAATGGATCAGATCTTGGGGATTTTTACTCAGACATGTTCCATCGGTGTGGCCATGTTATTTTGGACATTTCGGAACCGAGTGGACCAAACACAGACTCAAGGTAGATGAACTTAAGTTCTGCCTGTCCCCAAAACAACTGTGTGTTTAAATTTTGGTCGCCTTGGTGTCCTTGAAGGCCACCTTATCTGAATTTCGCCTGGAGAACATGTGATCTGATGCTCACCACCCCCCTCCCTGAGGAATTTCCAACTGATAACCAGATGAAACCCCACTGAATAAACTTTGTGTCATCATTTCAGGACTCTGGATTCTCATAGTCATTATTCTTGGCCATTCCTCGACATCCCTCGAGAATGTTTATGGATCTCACCGGAGGACATTGACTGATTACAGTGACCTCGAGAGCATCTGTAGACGTTGTTGACCGGTCTCGTCTCTTCCTTCTTCCTGCTCTGCTCTTCAGAATGTCTACGTAAATATGTGCTTGTTTGTGCGAAGTGTTTTTTCATTATTAGGGGTTTTTCTCAGCCAAGAAAAAAGTCTGATAGGAATTTTTTTCGCCTCCAACTCTTACATGTGTCCAGTTAACCACTGTTTTTGTCTGTCCAAACAGGTCTCACTTGTAAATGAGTCTTCGAGGCTCAATGTGATTTATCTGATTTAAATAAAGGTTGAATGAATTAATGAATTATTATCTGATAAGGATAAAATGGCCGCGCTCTCCTGTAGTTGCAGCTTCGTGCACTCCGCCCATCTTTCGGACGACTGTACGTACATATTCGCGTTGTACCTCGGTGCAATTCCAACAAAGCTTATTCTGATTCTGATTCTCGGTGCTTGGATGCCCCCTCGACCCAGTGCAGGTGGTGGGAGACAGAAGGACTCCAGCTAAAATATCATCATTGCTGGACAACGTCTCCCACCCCACGCATGAAGCTGCTGCTGAACTGGAGAGCTCGTTCAGTGACAGGTTCCTGCTCCTAAATGCACAAAGGAGCGTTACAGCAGGTCCTTCCTCCAGCAGCTGTTAGACTCTACAACCATCACTGCTCCCAACAAACTCTATAAGGATTAAATACATCCTGACCTCTGCTAAAACACACACTCTGCCTATAATACTGTACTGTAAATAGTCTGTCCTTATCAATGTTCCAATACATATTGAACACTATTATTGATATTTTTATCTTATTTATTTATTTATTGTATTGTTTATTAACATTTAGGAACTTTTGTGTGAAATCTTCTTATCTTTTTATCTGTTGCTGCTGTTGCTGCTGTTACACTTGAATTTCCCATCCGTGGGACAATAAGGCTGTTTCTATTATATTATATTATATTATATTATGTTATATTATATTATATTATGTTATGTTATATGGATCTTCAAACTGAGCCTGGGATTCCAGTCATCCCAACAACATACGTTCACAGGAAACTCTTACTTAAAAACACAAAAACATAATTACCTTGAATAGGCCCAGGTTCCTGATTTCACACCAGTGAAGAGACGACCGGATGTGTCCCCAAAGTCTCAGACAATGGTGTGCACCAAATTGTAGTGGCTATTACTACAATGGATACTGGAATAATTAAATAAAGCAATTTGACAATTTGATTTCTGTACTGAAAGCAAAACTCAGGGTTTCATTTTGAAGTTTATTTATTGAGTTTCAACGAGAAGAAATCTGAAGTTATGCTGTTTCCTCCCAATGACACAATCACCAACCACTGCATCGACCTATCCGTTCTGTCACCGTTAGTGAAACAAAGAGTCACTAATCTAGGAGTGATACTTGACCCTTCTCTGAAACTCAACAATCATGTAAATATGATTGTTAAATCCTGCTTTTTCCAGCTGAGGCGACTGTCTAAGCTGAAGCCCATATTGTCCAGAAATAAGCTGGAGACAGTAATTCATGCATTCATTACATCCAGGCTCGACTATTGCAACTCACTCCTTTTTGGTATCAGTCAGACCTCCATAGCTAGACTCCAACTGGTCCAAAATGCAGCAGCCCGGTTTTTGACCAGCACAAGCAAAAGAGAGCACATTACTCCTGTTTTGGCCTCACTACACTGGCTTCCGGTTCACCTTGGAATCAAATTCAAAATACTCTTGTATGTCTATAAATCACTAAACAGCTCTGCCCCCTCCTATCTTACTGATCTGCTCCAGCCGTATGTCCCACCACGTTCTCTCAGACCAGCAGACCAGTTGCTCCTAACAGTCCCAGGAACCCGTCTCAAGCGCAGAGGTGACAGGGCCTTCTCTGTAGCAGGACCAAGACTTTGGAATGAGTTACCTCTGCTCGTTAGACAGGCCCCCTCCCTCACAGTTTTTAAATCTCGCTTAAAAACACACTTTTATTCCCTGGCTTTCTGCACTGTGTGATCTGTGCTGAGTCTGTGTGCATCACACTGTGTTGGTCATGTTGCGGTTGTTGTTGTTATCCATTACTGTTTTTGTTGGTTTCTACTTTTTGGTGTCCTGTTATGTAATCTGTTGCTGTGTGCTTGTTCTGTTTGTCCATGTACAGCACTTTGGTGTGCTTTGTCACTGTTTAAAGTGCTATATAAATAAATTGATATGGTATGGTATGGTAATATGGTATGGTATGGTATGGTATGGTATGGTAAGTACAAAACATTGTTGAACACTGAACAGCTCAAAGACCAAAATAAAGACACCCCCCCCCCCCCCCAAGAGATGTTATCAGACCTTTTTATACACTTCTGCTTACCTAGTTTTCTTCATTCATCCTTTATTTAGACAAGTAAATCCCATTGAGCCTGGAGGACTCATTTACAAGAGAGACCTGATTTAACAAAGAAAGATGACAACAATGGACAACAGCAACAACAATAAACAGTTATAAAAAGGCATACAGATTATTTTTTTTTTTTTTTACGAACAGGATGGCTAAAAAAAGAAAAGTAACAAAAAACGGCTAGATTCTAAGGCGAATGTAGAAAACTAAAAACAGGAACGGGTCTGCATTGGTCCCTGCAAGGAGTCCAAAAAAATCTTAAAGCTACTTAGAGAGGTCAAAGGTCAAGAGCTTCAAATCTTTTTGGAAGATATTCCAGGAAACAGGAGCGGAGTAGGAGTAAAGATCATTGCACAAGCACACACTTTCACTTCCCCTAAGACTTTCATTAACCCTAAGACTACACTATATTAACAGCGACTGGGAAATGTGCACTTTATTAAGAGTGACTGGGAAATGTGCACTTTATTAAGAGTGACTGGGAACTGTGCACTATATTAACAGCGACTGAAAACTGCACTATATAAACGGCGACTGGGAACAGTGCACTATATAAACCGCAACTGGGAAATGTTCACTATATTGCCAGTGACTGGGAAATGTGCACTTTATTAAGAGTAACTGGGAAATGTGAACTTAATTAACAGCGACTGGGAACTGTGCACTATATTAACAGCGACTGGGAACTGTGCACTATATTAACAGCGACTGGGAACTGTGCACTATATAAACAGCGACTGGGAACTGTGCACTATATTAACAGTGACTGGGAACTGTGCACTATATTAACAGCGACTGGGAACTGTGCACTATATAAACAGCGACTGGGAACTGTGCACTTTATTAAAAGTGACAGTGAACTGTGTAGCTCAAACCTGTAGACCAGCTACTGTCCTGAGGATCAGTAAATTGTCTGATTGCTGTGTTCTGCAATTTTTTCAGGCAGCATTTCATTTGTTTTCAGCGTTTGTCACAAGTTCTGGAAGTTATAGTTCATTTAAAGTCAACATATTTTTTTGTATGTTACATTAATGACAGATGTTAAGCTTTCGTTTTATTTAGTATTTCTTTTTTTTGGTAGTGGAGGGGGGGAGGGTGGACTGCACCTTTAGTTTTTGTGGTGGATTTTGCTGATCTATACTTTGTGCAGACTTCTTCAGTCTAAATAGCAGAAGGATCATTTTTATTTTTATACTTTGAGACTGAATATTTTACTAATTAGTTATTGCAGTTAAATTAACCCTTGTTTTTTATTTTATTTCATATAATACTTGAAAGCAACACGTTAAGTTAATTTTGTCATATGACTATGATTTCTGTTTTTTTTTTGTTTGTTTTGTTATACTGTATCTCAAAATCTATCGTTATCTTCATAATGCTGTGTAACCTCACGATATTATGTTTGAGCCATATCACCCACCCCATTCCAGGTGGATCTTCAGCTGTTCACAGGGTGACAGTTTTTCTTTGTTCCAGGTATGGTCTGCGGTACTCTGCCAAGGTGCTCAGAGACACCCTGAAGACCAAGTTCCCTACAGCCGGCCAGGAGGAGCTCTACAAGGTGAACCAGTTTTCTCTTTGGACCTGTCTGAAGAAAGTCCTCCCAGAGACCGGCACCAGTTCTTACTGAGCTCACATAGCTGGGTCGGGTTCTGTTCCCTGGCCCCACATCAGATCCCTCCTTCTACATCTGAGCACTGCAGAGGTTCTGGTTCTGAGGGTCCCAGAAGACCCATATAGCCCTTTTCCATTAGTCAGAGTCAGAGTTTCTTTATTGTCATTCGCACCACATGTGGTACATGTGGTGGAACGAGATTATATTCACAGGGTCCCAGTTACATCCAACAATAAAATGTAAAAGAAAAACAGTAATAACATCTAAGATATGAACTAAGAAAAACATCAACTAATATACACTAAGCACTGATGGCATAAAAACATTACGTCAAACAGCAGCACGAACATGAGTCTGTGTGAGCAGATTAGCACAAGTGAACAGATCAACATGAAACAGATCAGCAGCTCAAATGTGCTGTAGTAGTAGTAATGGTACAGCACGGTCCGACTCGGCTCGGTACGGTTCCAAGGCTTTTCCGCCAGCAATTATTCGTGGAACCGGCCCCTTTTTCAGGACTTTTTTCTCTGGGGTTCCAACCGTACCGAGCTGGCCTTAAAACGTGACTTCAGAACACTGTCGGTCACTGATTGGTCAGGGGGTGGAGTCACTGGTTGTTTGAGAAATTTTCACAACATTCGATCCGCCATTTACAATAACTCGAACTCAGAGGAGCAACTGGATCCCTTTTTAAGATTTTAAAAACCGTAATGACAACATTGTGGTCTAATGCTAAAGTTCAGGCGTTTTTTTGTGCTTGGTGGGCCACGACAAAATTCAGAGCGAGCTAGATGGAGCTCCGCACGTCCTCTCCACCAGAGCCTCAGAGCCCCCTCAGGCCAGGCAGGGCATCACCCCACAGCTCCGAGCTCTGCTGGTCACCGCAGAGGATCCTCTGAGCTGCTGACCCGCAGAAGCACGTGAGGCCGGGGCCCTGAACCCGAGCCCTGGCAGACGGACGAACCGGGACAGGTCTGGGATAGAGGGTGGAAACAATTTAAAAAAAAAATAATATGTGTAAAAAATATTATTATTATTATTTTTTTATCAGTTAAGATAAAAATTTAAAAATAAATAAACAGTGCCGGCTTTATCATGAAATCCTGTTTTTACTTTAATGACTTTATTAAATAATCTGTTAAAGTTAACTCAGCTGAAAAATCATAAAAAGACACAACATTATTGGATCTCAGGAATATTTCCCTCAAACGTGTTTAAAGAAGAGATTCAGCATTTAGTTCAACTTTATTCTAACCCACAGAAGAACATACCACAAAACAAGAATTAAACTTTAAATCAAAGCTAAAAAAAAAATCTGTGAGCAAAAAACAAAACCACAGATCTAAATTGAACAATAAATGTAAACACGAGTGCAAATACATCAAATGATGAAGAAAACGTATAAAATTTTCAATATAGATGTTTGTGTAGAATCTGGTTCACCTGAGATTTAATGGTGAACGTTAAAAGTAAATTTGTAGGATTTATTTATATATTATTTATATACAAACCGGATTCCAAAAAAGTTGGGACACTAAACAAATAGTGAATAAAAAGTGAATGCAATGATGTGGAGGTGCCAACATCTAATATTTTATTCAGAATAGAACACAAATCACAGATCAAAAGTTTAAACTGAGAGATTGTTTCATTTTAAGGAAAAAATCTGTTGTTCCCAAATTTCATGGCGTCAACAAATCCCAAAAAAGTTGGGACAAGTCCATTTTTCCCACTGTGTGGCATCCCCCCTTCTTCTTCCAACACTCAACAGACGTCTGGGGACAGAGGAGACCAGTTTCTCCAGTTTAGAAATAGGAATGCTCTCCCATTCATGTCTAATACAGGCCTCTAACTGTTCAATCGTCTTGGGCCTTCTTTGTCGCACCTTCCTCTTTATGATGCGCCAAATGTTCTCTATAGGTGAAAGATCTGGACTGCAGTCTGGCCATTTCAGTACCCGGATCCTTCTCCTACGTAGCCATGATGTTGTGATTGCTGCAGAATGTGGTCTGGCATTATCGTGTTGAAAAATGCAGGGTCTTCCCTGAAAGAGATGACGTCTAGATGGGAGCACATGTTGTTCTAGAACCTGAACATAGTTCTCTGCATTAATGGTGCCTTTCCAGACATGCAAGCTGCCCATGCCACAAGCGCTCATGCAACCCCATACCATCAGTGATGCAGGCTTCTAAACGGAGCGTTTATAACAACTTGGACTATCCTTGTCCTCTCTGGTCCGGATGACATGGCGTCCCAGTGTTCCATAAAGAACTTCAAATCGTGACTCATCTGACCACAGAACAGTCTTCCATTTTGCCACACTCCATTTTAAATGACCCCTGGCCCAGTGCAAACGTCTGAGCTTGTGGAGCTTGCTTAGAAATGGCTTCCTCTTTGCACTGTAGAGTTTCAGCTGGCAACGGCAGATGGCACGGTGGATTGTGTTCACTGACGATGCTTTCTGGAAGTATTCCTGAGCCCATTCTGTTATTTCCTTGACAGTGACATTCCTGTTTGAGGTGCAGTGACGTTTAAGGGCCCGGAGATCACGAGCATCCAGTAGAGTTTTACGGCCTTGACCCTTACGCACAGCGATTGTTCCAGATTCTCTGAATCTTTTGATGTTATGCAAGGTTGATGATGATAACTTAAACGTCTTTGCTATTTTACGCTGAGTAACACCATTCTGGTATTGCTGCACTATCTTTCTGTGCAACAATGGTGGAATTGTACAAAAAAGTTCAATCTGGTCCTCTGGACATTCAAAAAAAACAAAAAACAAAGCAAAAAAATCTAGAAACGTTTCGTCTTTCATCCAAGAGACTTCCTCAGTCTGAGGGGCTGTTTTCAACTCAGTCCCTTAAATAGCACCTTCTCAGAGTGGATCAACCAGTTTGCTGCTGACAACCAGAACCAGCAGATCACATGCTCAAGAAGGACCATCAGCCTAACAATGGATCATTAGCACCTGATGGCTGTTTACTGTTCACAGAGGGCTGAGTGATACTAGCAATCACAGCATTGTAAGAGGGGGACAGTTGAACCCGGAGGCCTCCACCCCTGTTTAATGATGGACGATTTCTTTTCACAAAGATGGCCTCCTTTACTCCTCTCTCAAACCATCGTTCCTCTCTGTCCAGGATGTGAACATCTTCATCCCTGAAAGAGTGACCTCTGACCTGGAGATGAGTGTAGACCGCAGAGTCCTGGCCTGATGATGTTGATCTTCTGTGCTGGTCCATCCTTTTGGCCAGTGGCTGTTTAGTTTCCCCGATGTAAGACTGATCACCCTCCTGACACTGAACAACATACACAACATTACTCTATTTGTGCCGGGGGACTGGATCTTTGGGATGAACCAGTCTTTAATGTATTTTGGGGTTTAAAAGCCACTGGGACGTTATGTTTAGAAAATAAACGTCTCAGTTTCCCTGATACCCCCTCAACATACGGAATGACCACTGGTCTGGGTCTGGGTTCCTCCTTTTCACCTGATGGCTGACTGGAGTCCTGTTTGGGTTTCTTCTTTCAGGAAGGCCCAGTTAGGATATCCACATTGCTCTAGAGCCTGTCTTGTGTAGGATTTCTCCTTCTGCCTGGCTCCTGAGCTAGTGGGGACGCTGTCTGCTCTGTGGTACAGAGTCCTGATGACTCCTAACTTGTGCTCCAAAGGGTGATGGGAGTCAAACTGCAAATACTGGTCTGTGTGGGTGGGTTTGCGGTACACCTCAGTTTGCAAATGTCCTCTATCAGAGACTGGTCTGGTCCAGAGGACCAGATTGAACTTTTTTGGATTTTTCTACCTGGATTATTGAGCATGCATCAGGATAAATGGTGGAATTGGTGATCCTCTTACCATCTTGGCTTCTGAGAGACACTGACACTCTGAGAAGCTCTTTTTATACCCAGTCATGTTGCCAATTGACCTAATTAGTGTTAATTGGTCTTCCAGCTGTTCGTTATATGCTCAATTTCCTTTTTCCAGCCACTTATTGCTACTTGTCCCAACTTTTTTGGGATTTGTTGACACTGGGAAATTTTGAATCAACATATTTTTCCTTTAAAATGTTACATTTACTCAGATTAAACTTTTGATCTGTCATCTGTGTTATATTACGAACAAAATATTGACATTTGCCATCTCCACATCGTTGCATTCAGTTTTCATTCACAATTTATTTAGTGTCCCAACTTTTTTGGAATCCGGTTTGTATATATATACAAACAAGACTATATAGTTTAATTTGATCATTTTAATAATCTGTATTTTTTTTAATTTACCAGAAACTTCAAAATAAATTCTCACCTGTACTGAAACCTGGTCCAAGTTTAAGTCATGATTATGAGCTAAATCCAGATTTTATCCATTCTGTGGGTGTGTGACAGTAATAATCTGACATGAATGATGTTTTATCTGGACAAACTCTGAAGCGTCCAGGTTAACCCTTTTTTTTGTCCAATAACTTTATGACCATTCATGACCCTTAGGGAAAAATGTAAATGCAAAAAATGCTGTTTATTTTATTCACTAAATAAAACTAGGCAATCTTTTAGAGCTAACTTGGCCTGAAAACATCAAATTTAAATGTTATTTTAAATCTTCAGGCCATTTTTATCATTATAATTTAATACTTCCCAGAGCCGTATAAAGTTAGAGAGTTGCGACACTCCCATAAACTCCCATAGATTCCCATAAACTCCCATAGACTCCCATAGAAAGAATGGATTGTGAAGTCACGTGGG